GCACAATTTCTGCTTAGAATGATGAGGCACACAGCCAATACGACATACCATTATGAATCACATTATTGCAGTCACATTTTGCACAGGACTTATCATGGTGACGAGCTCTCCAATTATCCACAAATACCCGCGTTGTCTTTCGTACAATCATCCATCGAGAGATGTTCGTATTCCTTCATACATATTCACAAACTCAGGCTTGCTTTCGTTTCCGTAAAACTCGTGAGAGTCGTTTGGGAGGGAAAATCGCGCGACATGCTCCAACCGTTATAAGATAGATGTCGTCCCTTTCAGGGGAAAGGAGGCGACGGGTCCGAGAAAGAAAAGAAACAGAGACAAGAATTCCACGCCCGTAAACTCCTTTCGGGGCCTGCTTGCGACAGCAGGGACACCCGACCCAATGCAATCTTTTTTGTACTTTGTGCCGTCAACCATGAAAAAGGAGAAGAGGGTGAAGAAGCAGTCGTATCGCCGTAGCCGGAGTGCCAGTCTTCCCTGAAATATCGCGATTCAAAGATGGGACAGCAGCCAACCCAATGCCAAAAAGGGACCGTGGTCATACTTACCGCCCGGGCGAGGGGGGTGTTACATCAAAATGTCGTGTCGGTCGTGAACGCCGTCGCCGTCGCTGTTGACCGGCGTTCTAGTCGTACATGTCCACTCCTCCCGCCGGCGGGCGGCTCGCGCTGCTCCGTCTTCGCTCCTGTCTTCTCCTCCTCCGGTTGTGTTCCGCGGCGGATCCCGTGGGGTTCAGGCCGGCCGGCGGTACGGCGGGTGAGGGGCTCATCTGGCTCCAGGTGCCGTGCGTGTGCTCGCTGCCGATGCTAGAGACAGAGGGGTTTGCGCCGCCGGTCGGTCCGGAGTAGTAGGCCGAGTCCTTCGGTTTCCGGCCCGCCGCGAAAGCCGGATTGGGGGGCGGGAGGGCGTCGCCTGCCTCGGCCATCTGCTCGGCCGCGGCCTCTGCTCTCCTCTGGCTCGAGTCACGGCGGTAGCGGCGTCCGCTGCCGACGTCGGTGCCGGAGAGACTGCTCACCGAGGTGCCGCGCCGTCTTCGGTGGTCGCGCTTGGATGCGGCGGCTTCTTCCTCGGTCAGCCTGCGCAGCGTGACGTTGCGGTCTTTATCGTCGTGAACCTTGACCTTGACGCTGACGGGCGCCAAAGTGGATTGGCCGAAGCGCTCAGACTCTGCGCGACGACGCTGCTCCTCCTTGGCTGCGAGGGCACTCGCTGAGGCGACGGCGGCCGCTGCTGCCTCATCGCCAGCCCTCCTGCGTTTGGCAGAATCACGGCGCTGCGGTCGACCGCTGGGAGATCCGTACACATCATTCTCGGACTCGCGGCTGAGGATGCCCTGCGGGTCTGGCGGCATCGCAGGCATGCTGACGGAGTCGGGGTAGCCGGCACCTGCACCGGGAGGCGTTCTCGGGGGGCGGGCAGAGTACGGCGGCATCGGGGGGCCCCCTCCGTAGCCGGTTCCGGAAGGACGGGGCTCAAGCTCGGAGGATTCGGTCAATTCGGTGATCTCTGTACTGATGGCGGACATGGGAGGTCTCGGGCGGCGACCACCACTGGCGCGGCGAGAGGAGCGCCTGTCGCGGGACGGGGAGGACATGCCGTCTCCCGTGTATCTTGAGCCCGAAACGCCTGACCTCATCTCTTCCTCGTCCCTGATTCTCTGCTCTTCGGCCTTCTTGTTCTTGCGGTCGGCCATCTTCTTGGCGAACCATCCCAAGCCCAGACCAGCCAAGATGCCCTTACCGGCCCCGCCCGAGGGCGGCGGCTCATCCCTACGTCTAGACGGGCTCACATACGACGAGTACTCGGAATCTTCGAAGCTGTACTGTGACCTGGTCCTGGCGTGAGGGGGTCGGTTCGTGCGAGACTCAGCGGCGCTGAGAGCCTGAGCGGCCATGACGGGGTTTCCAGGGGGCGGCAGGATGGAACCCTCGCGGGGTCTTCGTGCGGGCGGCGGGGTGTCTTCGGTCCAGTCGGTGTAGTCGGTGAACTCACTCTGGGCGGGGTAGCTTCGACTCGGGCGGCGGCGTTGAGGAGTCTCGGTCGAGACGGCAGAGTATTCCTCGTCGTGCGGTCGGCTCTTCTCCTTCTTCTTCATCAGGCCGGACAGAAGCTTTCCTGCGCCAATACCAGCACCGACACCGAACAACGTCTTCATAAAGCCGCCTCCTTCCTTCTTCTTGTCATCCCGGCGTGAATCAATGTCCGTGTACTTTTCGCTCTCAAAGTAGCTTGCGGAATCTCTGCGCGAGGGGAGGTAACTTTGCGAGCCCCGTCTGGAACCGACAACCTCTGGCCCACGGCTGCGGCTTCGCGATCGCGATCTCTCCCGGCTGAGCTCCTTCTCCTTCTCCTTGTGCTTCTTGCGACCGAACAAGGCGGCCAGGGTGGCACCAGCTGCGAGAGGCGCCACCCATCTGTTGCTCTTGGTCTTCTCCGTGTGGACATCACTGTAGTACTCTGAGTCGTAAGACACGCCGCTCGGTCCCTCGGACCGTCCTCCACTGATGTACGTCTCCCGGCCACGGTCATCGCCCTCGGCGCGGTAACTGAGGATGAAATAGAGCAAGAGCAAGAAGGCAACCCATAGGGAGTAGAGGATGAATGTGTACTTTGGGGAGCCGTAGAGCGTCAATCCAAGAGGCACCTGAATGAGACCAAGAAGTGCGATGAGCCGTCCGCTCCACCGATGAAACATCTTTCTGAGCGAGCGTCCCCTGATGTTCCTCACGAGCCGGCCGCCGATGATCTGCAGGAGAAACATGATGAAGATTGCCAGGCCGATGGCGTGGTGCGGGTTCGTCCAGCTTCGTTCGGGGCCGACGGCGAACCAGCCCAAGGTAAATACGGCGACGAGCAAGAGCGCTCCCAGGATCTGTAGCTGGGCGTGGTAGGGTACAGCGTAACCGGGCTTTCTCGTGTAGAATCGAACCGTCAAGACGGAGAACGGGACGATGACAAGGAAGACAATGGCTCCCATGACACCATGAGCGAGAATGAGGGTGTGGTACTGAGCGACTGTCGAGAAGCGATTGCCCATACCTAGGGTGGTCAGTGTTAGTGGAGTGTCATCATCGAAAACCCGGCCGGGATGTATTCACCATTGTATTGCATCGTCTCGAAATTGAGACCTTGGAGGTTGGGCAGCAAGAAGGTGTTCTTCTCAAAGTCCCAGGTTCCGTCGCCGACCGTCATGGTGTTGGAGTCGTAGGTAGCGACGCCCGGCGCCGAGAACCCTTCTGCCGGCGCCATGATGGCGACGACGAGCGGAGGAGTCCTTCAGACGCGGGTGGGAGGTGTTGAAGAATGCGGGAAACCCGTTTGGCGTCTTTATCGTGGCCGACTCTCGAGATGCTCAAAAGTAAAGGGACCCCGAGAAACGGAGAAACGGTTGCGTTTATCGTTTGGGTGGGATCCTGAAAGTCGGTCAGTGAGCCGGCCGGAGGTGCAAGTGGGGGAAGTTTCGGTGTTGGCGTCTGCGCTGGAATGTTTGAAGCAGAACATGCGCCCTACCCCCAAAGGAAAGATAAGGTGTCGGGAGGTTGGGAACAAAGAAAATATTCAGGATGAACCCGAAGACTTGTGTCACTACCTTAGCGACGAGAGACTAGGTTTCTCCAAGAGAAAAAGAGAGTGGGTTCGTCCTGTCTGTGAGCTCACCAGGTGGTCGCTGACAACCCAGCCGGACCTGCAGCGTGGTTGCGCGGGGTAACCGGGTCGCCCTTGGCGCCGAATCCTGGCTCCACAGCGGGCAACGGGCAGCGGGTGTGGTGGAGCCCAGCCTATCGATAGGCCACTTGGGGACAACGGGTTAGTGTCCCCGGTGGCTGGCAAGCTCTTATCGGCACGTGACCGCCCGAACTGATCGCCCGAGCTCTTCCAAGGTTTCCAAGGCTGGTTTCCGTCCAAGACGTCAGCGTCCGTATTGTCCTGGGCAACCATGCTCTTTTCCCCAGGGTTCAGCTCCTTTTTAAAGTGCAAAACCGTTGTCCCATGTTCGCTCCGAGAAGCAGCTGCGGACTTTCGACGAACACCGTCAGCCTCAGCTGGGCACGCACAAATGGTGCGTTCGCCTCCGGGGCGGTGTGCCACGTGTCTGCGGTGAGCTGGCAACGGCCATTCTGTCTGGCCCGGCCCTCTCTGCGTTATACGAATTTCTGAGATGGAAAGCGGGTTCGAGCGAAGAAGGGATGACAATTGGAGGCGCAGAGACTCGAGGTTTTGAAACAGGCGGTGGGCGAACATCCCTGCTCAGGTACCAACGGCTACTGCAGAGTACCCGAACGGATCAAAGATCTCGACCTACCTCCCCGCTGTTAGCTTTCTTTTCTCCCCAAGACGGGCCGGCCATTCCACCCTTCGAATGAGTCACGTTGAGAAGATCGTGTCTGCGCAGCAAGTCATCACCGATTTGTGTCTCGCTGTCCGTCATCTCGAGCTACTCGCTCGTCAGGCAAGTCATCGCCTGAGGGGAACAAATAGCGGGTCTAGCTGAATCGCAGACTCGGGTGACGGTGTTCTCGATGTGCGATATATCGAGAACGATATCAAGAGGTCCTGTGAGGAAGAGTGATCTGCCTTCACAGCCACATTTAAAGGGCTCATATCCATGACTGTTGGTTTCGTCGAAATGCGATACTTGGTGCTGTCTGCGAGGCTCGTTCTCGTGGCTCGTTCTCGTTTTCGCAGTCGGTCGGGTCAGTGGCTGATGATGGCCTCGTCAACACAATGCTAACTTCCATTGCGCCAAGGGGCAATTTTAAGCATCGCCGTGTTGAGGTTTTGCTAGGAAATAGGCAAGATTTGATTCGAAAATGGAAGGGAGGCGTGGTGCTCAGCGTGAAAGTAGAATGTTTGAATGATTGATATAAAGGCCTGCCTATTATTTGAAATGTTACTGATATTGAGTATCGAGCATCGTCTTCACAGATTCATCCTCCCTCATATCATTCATCTTCCAAATTCTCCTTCAGATCAATTCCACAATGCATATTCCTTCCATGATCATCGTTGGCCTGGCCCCTTTGGCCTATAGCTTCCCTCACTTTGCCAACTCTGGCGTTGGACACTCAATCCGGCCGCCAGCGATCAAGTCTGGAAACGGAACCGGACGTCTGACGCCAAATCACTTCTTCTGGAAAGCTCCGGGACCTGGCGATCGTATGTCTGAATCTGTCTCGACGGGTACACTTGAACGTGCTAACAGAATCAACGCAGAGCGTTCCCCATGCCCGACGATGAACACCCTCGCAAACCATGGCTTCGTTCCCCACGACGGCCGAAACATTACGCTCGACAAGCTCACAAAGGGGGTCAAGGATGCATTGAACGTGGCCGAATCCCGGGCTCTCAACATCTTTGAGACTGCTCTTGTAGTCAACCCCGTTCCCAACGCCACGGTAAGAGAAGCATCTGCATCGCTCCGAGAGGGCGGGCTGACCAAGGCCGCAACAGTTCTCGACCTCGAGATGCTCCATGTCCACAATGTCATCGAACATGACGGCAGTCTCTCCCGCCGCGATGCCGTCTTCGACCCCACCAACTCCTTTGACAAGGGGACCTTTGACAACTTTGTGAGCTATTTTGGAGACGAGCAGGCCATCAACACGTCAATCATGGCCAACGCTCGTGCCAGACATGCCCTTGACATGAGCGAGATCAACCCAGGCTTCTCTATCACCCAAGAACAGATTCCGGTCATCGTCGGCGAGAACGCCTTCATGCTGGCCATTTTTGGCCATCCGGAAAACCCGGTAGCGAATAGGTCATTCATGGAGTACTTCTTTAGTAAGTTATTGTGGTCCCACGCCGGTCTTCGATATATTCTAATCATCCATAGGGAACGAGCGGTTGCCAGTTGAGCTTGGCTGGACTCCGAGCGACACTCCGATTGACACCACGCTGGGCCAGTTCGTGCAGGATATTATTGCTCAGAGTCCTCCCGATGTGCCCCTCACATTTACCCCGCAGTCGTCTGTTTGAACACGGCGTGGAATCTCGGGAAAAGGTAAAAGATTGTTGAGTTCGCTATGCATATTATCGACGTCTGATGGATGTTGTACACGACATATATCTCCATCTCTATAGTTGATGAACAGGCAGTCCAACATTTTTATATCTCTCTATATAGTAGATGCATGATTGACCTTTAATTTTATAAACCTTGAACTCGATTTTACCACTTTCTGCCCACGAATCTTGAGTAAAGTCTTGCCGTTTATGAACGCTGCAGAAGGACGACCCGAAGTCGTGTAGCATTTTGTGCACGCTTCATCAGAACAACCCAAAGCCCAGGAGACAAATTGGTACTTTAGCAAACTGACAGATGGTGCAAACCAATCGGCCTCCGGCTTGGGATGCCGCTTGAATCTGTCCCTCGCCGGCATGGATAAGGTGATGTACTCTCTCAACCCCCTCAACTCTGGAGGGCCAGTTTCGGTCGGACACCAGCGACAGCTGCCCGATTTGTAAAGATCCCCGAACAGCCCACTGTAGAAGTCTTCTAATTGTTTCAACAAGCAATCAACTTCGTCAGCTCTGCGCGGGCCTTCCCTCCACGGATTCGTCCATGAATCCCTCCATCTGAATGTCAGGATATCGCCGGAGGGTCTTTTCGTTGCGGGCTGAGGAAGATACCCAGAACTCACGGTGATGGTACCCGTCTTTATATACTCAAGCATATGATGCCCTCCACAATGCTCCAGTCTAGTTCCTCTTGGCCAGAAGTTTTGGGGGTGTTCTTGAAGAGCAAGCCCCTCGGCTTCGGCGGATGCTCGAAGGTTACCTTCGCATCGTAGGGGCCTCTCGATGTTCCATAAAGCAGAGGAAACATGATGCAATCGTAGGAGCGTATCGGCTTTTGAGCGTTCCTAGCCCAAGGCAAGACTTCGTCGCGCTCCCAGAACGGTGTACCCGGTTGACCATCGGCTTTTCTGGTCTCGCTGAAATGTATGCCGAATGAGCCCGCGTAATTGCCCAGACGATCGACGACTTCGGCTGCATCGCAGACCATTGCGAGCAAGACGAGAAGTGCAGCTCTGTGGTTTCCATCTGGAGGAGCCTGTATGGAGACAACCACCTCTTTGGGGTTGTAGTGTTTGAGGGCCTTGACGAAGACGGAGCGCGTGTTCTTGATCGACCACATTGACGTTCTGTGGCGAATCCCTCGTTTCTCAGGTCCTTCGTCCACCGCCCAGGTGGCCTGGATCCTCAAAGCTGAGCCTCTTATGAACTCTGAGTCGACAAAGACGCACAGCTTGTCGATGTCAATACGCTCGCAGTCGTGCTTCTCGTCGGGAGCGGGAGCTGGTTTTCCGAGGCGGCAGTTGCAGCGAACACGTCTGCGAGGCAGACGGTCAAGGATATCGGATCTCAGCTGGGAGTTGGTATGAAGAAGACTTGTGTGATCTTCTTCCTTGCTCAACATGTCCCATATGTGGTTGCGCGTCTCTTGAGGAAGGATCGAGAACGGGGACGCCATCGTTGCTGTGTCCATTATTGCTGTGTTCATCGTTGCTGTGTGCCTTGCTCGGGGTCTATAAATGTGCCGTTCGGGGGCAATGCGACAGATGCTTTCTTTTCGAATTTACTAAAAGTTAAAGGCTTGGTACATACAAGCTTGTATATTCAATCGGAGAACCTTGATTCTCTAGGCGATGCAAAGGTGTGACTTCAAGGTAGCGTCACGATACAGTTTAAAATTTCTTGTCAACTCTATTTTATATGTCATCAGAGAGAGAAAAGGAAACATCGTCGTCCTATCGTCTCTTTCATTGTAGACTTTCTCGCCTGCCATCTCCGTTTACTGCCTCTAACTAAAGGAAGCAAACACGCGATAATCTTGGGTATCTTGAGACGACAAATTGATACTGGGGACCTTATTGTATGAAAGGCGGTGGAAGTCATAGACACAGGCACCTTGCCCAGGTTCGGGTCAGTCAGACACTGGTGCTAGCGAATGGTTGAGGATGGATCAGGGCACAATTTCTCACGGAACGTCGACAGACAATTGAAGATACGGGATTAAGGTCTACCGAGACATTGGACATCCAAAACATAGATGATTTGCATGTGACGTTTTCGTCAATCACGCAAAGCAGGATAAGTCCAGATGCGGAAACCTTTCAGACATTGGCAAACTGGAGCAGCTGTAGTCGGTAAGCGGTTGGCGCTTCTTTGGACGGCCGATCAAAACAAGACATTTTAGCGGCAAATCAAATTCGCTTTTCAGTACAAGATCGGCAGCCACTGAAGCTTGAGGCTCTAGGAACTAACTCCGGTGACGTTGACCCGTTTGCTGGTAGATGGAAGGTCTCAGATCTGAAGACAAGGCTGAGACTTTGCGCAATGCGAGTCAAGCCGACAGTGATAATTAGACATCTGATTCCACGGACTGCGCAGAGGTGACGTTATTTACCTCTTCTTGTCCGGGTCCGTCGTGAGAATTGATATGGTGTTTGATTTCATCAATGACATAGGAGGACGGTTTAGTATATAAAAGTAGTTTCAACGAAGCGATCAGTCGCTACTCATGGTATCTATCTGACTTGCTAGCATCCGTACTTGAGACTTCATTCTATTTACCCCCGTTTTTACTCTCACCTAGCTACACTTTTCCCTCAGACACTTTGGCCCCAGAGCACTCAGTCACAATGCCGCCAATCTTCCCGTTAGCAATCAATACTGAGGGGTCGAAGGGCGAAAAAAAGCCGGAGCGGGAACCACGGAACCTCGTACTCTTCTTCGATGGCACTGGAAACGAGTTCACCGGGTCTGACAAGGATACGAATGTGGTCAAATTGCTCAATATGATGGACCGCAATGCCTGCAATCAGTACCACTACTATCAAAGTACGTTAATCATATCTCAAAGTCGGCTGGTTGCTTACATGTTATTAGCTGGTATTGGCACATATGATGTCAAGGAGAAGACCGTCCACAAGTCCAGCTTGGGCGAGATGAAGAGCAGCTTCTGGAAAATGGTTGACCAGGGATTCGGTACGACATTCGACGCGCATGTCATTGCCGGCTATCGCTTCCTGATGCAGTACTATGCGCCCGTGAGTAAGCCATCGCCCTTGAGTTGGCGAGCATTTCAACTAACCTTCCATGATGACAGGGTGATAGAATTTACGTGTTCGGGTTCAGTCGCGGGGCATACACCGCTAGATTTCTCTCACGCATGGTTTTCACTGTTGGACTTCTCTGCAAAGGGAACGAGGAGATGGTGCCTTTCGCATATCGCCTCTACCAGCGGCACCTGAACGGCGAGTTTAAGGCTGCCAAGAAAGGTGACCATCACATATCTCAGCACAACGACTATCAGACGAACCAATCTGCAAAGAAGTGCACAGCGGCCACGTGCCAGTTGGTCGCGTTTAGCGACACCTTCTGTTGGAGGGCGCCACGGGCCAAGACCAACATCAAGGTCTTCTTCCTGGGCCTGTGGGACTGCGTCAACTCGGTGTCCGTTTTGGAAAAGAAGACGACGGCGAACGTCAAAGTCCAAGGGACTGCGGACATCATCAGGCATGCTGTGGCTGTCGACGAGCGCCGCGTCAAGTTCAAGCCAGCACTCTTCGACCAGGACAAAGCAAGTGACAGCATTCGAAAAGAGCACATCAAGGAAGTCTGGTTCCCGGGCAACCATAGCGATGTCGGCGGTGGTTGGCACCCCGACAGTGACTTTCTTTTGACCGACGACAAGAAGGCCACGATCTCGTTACGCCTGAAGTCTTGGAAGAAACTTCGGAAGCTGAGAAGGGAGCAAAAAAAGGAAGACGACTGGGGCCAATGTGAAAAGTCTCACGAAACCTTGGAGCAATTAGAGGAATGCGAGGCCGAGCACTCCAAGTCATATTGCTCGAAGGATAAATGTGGAAGGTGCCGCCATGATGGCCAACACGATTACTGCTCCCACAGGTACCGCATGAGGCCTTGCCAACTGAGCGATGCCCCCCTGTACTGGATGATACAAGAGATTGAAGAGGCAGACAAGCGACAACGTGGCGAGGGAGACTACTGGCCTGATGGCGAGGGAATCAGGTGGGTTCCGGAGAAAGTCGCCGACTTCAAGGTCCGTTACCTTTACCACAAGCACGATGCCGTACTCGCGTCTCTTCATGACCCGCTCAAATTCGGCTTCGGTGACACCATAGGGTCTGTTCTACTGTGGAACTTTCTTGGTGAGGCTCTTGCATTATCTTCATGTTAGAATATGGATGACTGACACGAACAGAGTTCTACCCTTTGGCCAAACGATGGGAGCTCAAGAGAAATACTGTTCGCGCCGACAAAGACCACACCGCCGACAAAGAAAATACTGCCGACACTTATCGTACCCATTGGCACTGGCAGATGTTTCCCCTCAACTTGGGTGAAACCCGAGATATCCCGTGCAATGCAGTCTTGCATTCATCCCTAGTCGAACGCATCAAGAAACGCCCAACATACCGCCCGGTGAACAACAGTGGAGAAATTGATGGCAAGGAGACACCATATTGCTTGATAACAGACAATAGACAGGAGATTTCCCCCAAAATCATCGAGAGGCCACCGGCAGAGTCAGAGGACCTCTATAGAGGATATTATACTTTTAGGGACGAAACCACCAAGTCTAGGGACGAAACCACTAAGTCAGGTTGAATTCAATAGAGCATTGTGTTGTTTTTCTCGTAGCTTTATGTTGCTGAACCTCTCCTGGCTGAGCTAGTCGAGCGTCGTCTAGTGGAGTTGCGGTCAGGAGGTATGCGGACTATGAATACTACTGAACAAACGGCAGTCAAACAGTTCTCGCGCTTGAGACGGCCTAGTTTTTATGTGTCTGCGTGGCTAAACGTCCTATGTAATCAAAAGATTTGAAGTCTTACTTCGATGGTGGACGATGGTAAATTACAGTGATTAGAGATGAGGACGACGACGAGGACGACGACGAGGAGGACGACGAGTGCGAATACACAGGAAGAATAGGGGATCTGCTTCGTTTTCCTAGTCATGCTGTTGGCGTTTCAAAGGTGATAGACTTGCCAAAGAATTCCTACATGCCACCATGCGCCCGTTTATTAACCAACAAGCTCGTCTCTTCCTCCGTTCCGAATGCCGCGAACCTCAAATTCTCATTCATGTCCACAATCTCCCCAAACCTGACCTTGAGCTTCTTTAAATGCTCAGACATGCCCTCCTTGCCACCAGAACAAGCCTGTCTCGCCAACCGATTCAAAGTTCCATGCTCATGAGTCGTGGTGCACAAGATCTGCAGGAAGCCTCCAGGAGTCGCGGCGACACCGTTCTGGAACATGACAATTAAGCCGAGTAGCAAGAAGATCGCAGTGACAATCAAGTCTGCGGCATACACTGCAATGAGTCTCCAGGGGGGCTTGAAAACGTAACTCAGTCTATAGATTTCGGTCGTGACGGAAGTTGAAGTCAAGTGTTGACCGTCATTGAATATTGAGAGGGAGACATTGGTCATGAGATCGCGAAGAATGTCTGGAGACAGGTTGTAGTCCATGTACGTGTAGTCCTTCGTTTGTTCGTTATAGGCTGCCCTCGTGAGAGGCGTCTCTTGAATCAGAGAACTGCTCCTGTTGTAACCGTCGGTCCCTGCAGTCAGATGAGATTAGTCACAGTGCCACAGAACAGAAGGCCGAGGTGAAGCTCTGAATGAATAGGCTACGGATAGAGCAAAACATTTACCGAGATAAACAGCATCGCCCTTGAGTGGCTCTGTGAGGGTTTCGACCATAGAGGGAAGCTGACAGCCGTTGAATAAGACGTTCAATTCGTCTTTGGTATGAGTATACGTCGGGTATATGTATTCGATGCCATTCGGACCGTCTTTGGCATGTTGCTCGCCGTAGAAAAGGTTGGGGTAAAACAACGCTGTTGCATTCAGCGGTTTCTCGTTCGATATACCCACAGTTATAGTCTGAATGGAGTTGATGTAATTGACATGAGCATTGTAAGTGGCCGCCATTGCGACGCAGTTCAGCGCCCGCAATGTAGCATTCTGCCGCTGCCCATCACTCCCGGCCCAGATCATGACAAATTCATACAGATCGTTGACTCTCTTGAAGTTAGGATTGTGGGGGTAATGAGAAGCTCGATAGAATCCATTTTGCGCGTAGGTGTCGTTGAGGTCCGTGTTGAAGTACAATTTCGCTGTTGAAACAGGGTTCACGTCCTTACATTGAAGGGAGGGAGCCGCAAATTGGAGGTCGTAGGAGCAGTTGACTCCGCAAGGTGATGTGCGAGTGAGATAGGCACCTTCGAGTAGAGACCGTTTGCCAATGGCCGAGTACTCCAAGATCGGCATTCTAGCTCTGAGTCAGAATTGAGCTTCAGGTGAGAGGTTGGTGTGAACAACGTACTTATACTCGCCATCGGGCATTGTACTGAACATGACATACTTGAAGAGGTCGGCTGCTGATCCATTGCCGCGGAAATCAACATCAAGAGCTGGGATCGATGCTGCACTGGTTGCGTTCCGAGCAACCTGCTCTACGACAAGGCTTCCGCCCGGAAGTGATGCTGACAATGGCACCAGTAGGAGTAGTAATCCGAAGAACCACAACAGGGGGACTAGTTTCAATATCCCGAGCTGATACAAGTTAAGCGGACCGAAGTTCAGCTGGAAGAAGGCTTCCACTTTCTCCAGTGGAAGCGACCTCCGGCGTAGATACCACCACAGGAGTTGCGCGAATGCTGCTGAAGCGGACGCTGTCAGGATAGTTGAGAAGGCCCGTGAAAGAACTAGGATGAAAAAACTGTTCCATGTCTGAGATATGCCGACTTCGTCGATAGGTCTCCCACCTCCTCCGCCAATCACGTAGAAGTAGATGTAGTTGGCAATTGCGATAACCATCGCTCCGACGAAGCCCCCGACGATCACGGCTGGTGTGTACCATCCTATAGAAGAAAGCTTGTTCGTACTTGGAGGTTTCGGTGAGATGACCGATGTGAACCCCTTGGTCTCCCGAACAAAGGGTGTCGAGGAATCAGTGATATTGGCAGCGTCGAGTGGATGAGGGCTGTGTTCATCATGGCTGTTTGAGTCTGTCTCCAGCTCCGCATGATACGCGATGCTACTCATTTTTCGGTGTTCAGCGTTGGTCTTTTCTCCGGTTTTGAACCCAGCTCGATCGTGAATGAAAACCTGCGTCGGATGCTTCCTTATATTGTAGGAAGCTACACGTCGAACCCCTGAAGGATCGCACCTTTCAGCCATGCACCCGGGCTTCGTCTAGACCGATGCTCCCACAGACTCACAGGCCGACTATATTAAAGGCAAAGGCAAATGCGATCCAATTACCATGTTGGAAATGTGATAGACCTCAAGATAAACTTTGGAGGCTGAATAGGCTACATGCAAGATCTTGGAGGAGCTGAAGATCTAGCGTGGTGTTAGCTGAAGTGTGAATGTCAACACAGACTCGAATCAGCCTAACCACTAGCGACCGTTGTCTCACTTGTAGGTGCTCTGCATCTCAGCTCCAGCTGTCGTGACCCTGCGTTGAGCCAAAGTCCTGTTGTGCGCCCAAAACTTGACATTCGGAGCATCGGTGCTTAGGTTTGAGGGGGTTGCGGCCATGCATGCGATGTGGTCTCCGGGAGCCCTCTTGCTGAGTTTGCACTAGCATCTCAGCATCTCATGTTCCATATCTGAGTCTAACTCCTTCAAGAAGGCCACAACAGTCTCTCTCACAGTCTACATCTCACCTGTCGCTCTACCTCATAAACTGACGTTGCGCCATGTGATCGTCTGCTTGTACAGGACTAGGACTACCCAGGGTCTTCAATAGACGCTGAGCTCCTGAGGCAATCAAGGCTGCCATTGATAGTCTTCTAATAACGGAGGAGATAGTCATGACGGCCGAGTTATTCTGTGGATATCACGTTGCCTACGTCAACCTTTGCTCTCGGTGACAAGCTCACGCTCTATAAGCATCTTGCGTTCCTCTTTTTGGTACATACGACCATACCCACTGGAGAACTCGGGATCCCGTCCGCTCTCCCATAGATAAGCCAGTGAGGGATGGAGTAGTAGTCGGGTCGGTGACGACCGGCGAATGCCCGTTGTTGTATGTTTTTGGCGTTCACGATCCATTTTTTGGTGTTTTTGTGGACTGGCTATGCATACGTTGTGGCGCCGTACACTCCGCACCAGCCGGCTCCATTCGCGATGACAAGTACTGGTAAGAAACGTCCGTCTTGCATATTGCAGTTGACTCTTTAAAAAAGCACGAGCATGATCATAAGTTCTTTGCCTTCCTTTCCATGCCTAACAATTATATTACCGCCCTTCTCTGGTGGATCTGCTTGGTATCTTATATTCCGTATCCGATTCTACCCACCTCCTTGGAAGAGACCGCCGCCACCTTTTTCTGGTCCGCGAACGCGAAGACAGGCCCGCCGACTACACATAGAATTCAATAGACACCAAGCTCCTACGTGCAATCAAGACTACCGTGCCTATGTATACAAGGGAGCTGAGATGCCTATGCTAATAATACGTAGTTTTAATCGAAGGTCCTTCTCTACTTGATCATCCACAAAATGCGCTCCTCAATCATACCCAGCGAATCCATCCCCTCGTTCTCAGCCATGAGCTCCAGCGCACGCCTCTTGTATCGCCCGTCCGCAAGCACGTTGTCCACCGCCCCGCGCACCGCGGCGGCGCCGGGCGTCTGCGTCCTCAGGTTCACCGCGAAGCCCGCCACCGACCCGCGCTCCGCCACCTCGGCCTTCTCCTCCGTCTGGCCAGCGAACACGGCCGGCACCCCGTTGACCACCGCGTGCGTGAAGCCCCCGTATCCGGCGTTGGAGACGAACACGTCGGCGTGGGCGAGCACCGCGTTGTAGGGGAAGTAGTCGAGCACGCGCGCGTTGGCGGGCAGCCGGGACACGTCAAAGGTCGCGCCCCGGCTACCCAGGACGACGATGACGAGCACGTCGTCGCGGTCAGCGAGACCCTGGACGGTGGGCAGGATGAGGTCCTCGGGGTCGGTGTTCACAGTGCCCTGCGTGACGAATACGACCTGCTTCCTGGACTCGCCCTTGTTCGTGACCTCGGACCACCAGGGCGGGTATGCCAGGTCTTTGCCGAGGGGCGGACGAGGCAGACAGCCTGCGAAGCCGACCGTGGACGGCTTATCAGACAGGTCGTACTCGAGGCTCGGCGAGCAGAGGAGCAGCGTCTGGTCATAGTCGACGAAGAAGATGTCATTGACTGTATGGGTTGGCAGCGACGTGCATCCCAATGACCGGAAGACGGCGTCCCTCTTCTCATGCAGCTTCTTGAACGGGCCGTCGTTGATGAGCTGGTTCAGCGCCGCGTTGCGGAGCCTGCCCGAGTCGGACGTGTCCGGCGGCAGGCCGAGGGGCGTGGGCGCGCAGTCCACACTCTGCATGATCAGCGGGCAGGGGCTGACGCCGAGCGTCCGGGGGAACTCGTCGAAGCCCCGCGGGAGGGGGCGGCCGTACCGCCAGGGCACCGACGCCATGTTCGGCCCGTCCTCGACGACGACGATCTGCCTGCCGGGATCGCGGGCCCTCAGCGCCTCGAGCGTCTCTTGGAGCGTCTCAGTCCTGGCGGGGAGGTCGTCGAGGAAGACGCAGCCGATGGTGTGCGCGTAGCGTCTCGGGCCGACGGGGATGTCCCGCTGGGACCCGAGTTCGGCGAACTTGGCGGGAGTGAAGGGGTCCAGCGCCTCGAAGAACTCGGCACCCATGGCGCGGATCTTGGGCTCGTATTGGCTGGCGGCGAGGTAGGCGACGTCCCAGCCGCGCTGTACCAGGCCGGCGGCAATGCGCAGCAGAGGTCCGGTGTGGCCGTCGCCAGGAAAGGACGTTACGAGGAGGAGAGGCCTGGAGGCTTGAGTGTTGACGATGGATCCCATTGTGGCTGGCTTGAGAGGGTGATGTGGGGATCAGAGCTATAATGAAAATTTTCAAAGCTACAGCCTTACATATCAAAACAACGTCTATGTGTTTGAAGTCGAAACCAATGTAAATACGGGGGACTTGAAACAGCTCGTCGATTGACCTGCCTACATATACTAGACAATCATCAAAAGGGCGCAATACCTTGAGAATTCTCCGATCCGGGGCCGACTCCGTTCCCCTGATTGATATTGCTTACTTCATACGGACCTTGGCGACATCACGTTTTGTCATCTAGGTAACATTGATAGTTTTGTGGCCTCGTAAAACCGAGCTGCTATTGTTATAAATGGCGAGGGCGTGTACGAACTTCGCGGTCTTGGCCAAGACCGAAGCCGCGAAAGCGGGGGCCTGCACGAATGTGACTTTGCGGTCTCGGCTAAGAATGAAGCAGCGAAAGCTGGTTCAGCTACATACCGCCTTCAAAACTGCGGCCTGCTTTTTCATTCATGCAAGTCTCATAAAACGACCAGACAGAGATGTGAGTTCTTTAAAATGACCTCGCAGATGAGAGATTCCCATTCCTCAAGATCATCAGCCAGTCTACCAACAAGCCCCTCTGTGACAGGGACTAGATCGACAGCCCAGGGTTCGGATTTTCGTGTTCGTTCACGAGGAGTCTCGGCTGAACAGCGAGAACATTTTAATGGAAATGACAATCAATGGTAAGGAGCGTCCGTCTTCCATATTGCAATCGACTCGAAAAAGCATAAGCACGATCATGAGTTCCTTGCCTTCCCTTCTATACCGTGCGATTATCAATGGATGAGGTGGTCCTTCTCTTGTGGATCACCGCTTGTCGTTGCTGCACTTGCTTGATTGGGGGCTGTCGGTGCCTCTCATTGGTGTGAGCTGGCGTCGAACGGGGCCCGCCAGCAAGGTTGCAAGGGTCACCTTGACGGCCATGGCTGCCGCTGTAGGTTTTCGAAGGTCCGGAAATCAACGTGAAACCCAACAGCAGACAAACAAGCAGCTTTTGACGGTCTGCATCAGAGCCATGGCTTCATCAGCGGCAGAAGCGGGCGGCAGAGACAGCGATGAAGACATTGCGAATCTATCAATCCGCGAAATATGTCGTCGCTTCCAGGGAGAACGTCTCATTGTGCAGCCGCTGGCATGGACTACGCGGCACCTTCAACTCCTTCGCTGCACCATCAACGAGTTGCCCGAGTCATCAAGGAATGCATCTCAGCTGCAACCCATGCCCAACACGCCGCAGCCATCCCCCGATATCGCGACAAATTGGGCCAGAACGGTGGTCACTCGCTATTCGGATGAGGTTGCCAGTGCCGTGGGCTCTCTCTTGGAGTTCTACTCATTTACCAAGCTCTCGTAAGTTGACCATACGATCTGAGGTGTGATCGCTTTTCTAACTGCGTAGTGATACCCTCAAGTTCTACTACGAAAAATATGAGGTCGATCTACCGTGCGACGTATATGCCAGCATCTCGCCGTGTTTAAACGGCCCACGATTGTCATCTGTTGCTTTTGTAAACACATTGGACATTCACCATGTACGCCGTGAAACACTTTCGCGCCGAATACTTTGCAGACTTCCACAGCATGATGATAAAAAGGCGGCATTCACCGACCCATACATTGCCGCTATCCTGATTGCACAAGCCCAGCGGCTTCGCAAGGACAATGCAGTTTCTGGCAGCAACACAGACTCTAGAGGGACATCTTTTAAGATTCACTTGAAGTATAAGGTCAGCCATCGCTCATGCATTATCGCACGTTTGCTAATCGATCATCAGGTTCAACTCCTCAAATCAGTCCAAATGGGCATCGGGAGGAAGCAGCTGTGGTTGTACACTGCGTTCGTCACGGACGCTTTCTTGGACAAGCTTGCCTACCCGTCCCAAAGGTCTGAGTCGCATCTTGACATTTGGTACCTATAGGGGCATAGAATCCGACGGCAAAAGAGGTGCCGGCGGCCCCCAAAGCTAGGTGCTGCAAAGCGCTGACTAGGCCGCTGGAACCTTAGTCTTCGCGCTGAGCGGTGCAGCAGACAGCCCCCGCAAGCTGGCTGGCAACCTAGCTACCTAGGTTCCAACTTGGGAAGCCGGAGCTAAACATCGACAGGGGATGATGGGCCAGACCTCGCTCGGGTTAGCCCGCCGTCGCACGCCAATCCTTCACTCAGCCAAG